AATATTTTTGTTGGCCCGGGGTGTCTAAATAGTGCTTCCGAGCCAGTTTATAATGTCGAGCCCTGCTCTCTGTCATTGTGCATGTGTGTAATGTTTGTGTGCAAGTTAGACGGTGCCTGCGTGTGTGACTGTGTCTATGAGGGAGAAAGGAAAGCTGATTTTGGCCGCGGCGGGAAATTGATTTGACAACATAATACTCGATGTTCACGATTTGGTCATTTACGACATCGCATGTAGTGCAATCCACGATGTATCGTGTAAACTCGATATATCGCCCAGCCCTAGGTCGAATATTCGAATATACATTTGCTTTCAAATTCGCATCCCTAGTTCCTTGGAGCCTAATTACTAATCATTTTATTTCCTGTTTGTGTGCAGAAACCATCAACCTCACAATGTCAGCAGAAAGCCAGCTCAACGTCGACACAGCAGACGAGAACAAACTGGTGAGAGACACATAAAGAGTCCCTTAATCTGCTTATTGGGGGGGGGGTTCCCCTTTCCTATAGTGTGTTATATAGATTTTAGAAACGGTCTGCAAAGGCTTAAAATCTCAAAGTTCCGGAACACAGTGACATCACTTGGAACACTTGTGCTTCTATTGGCCTCTTTAAGGGGCGGGACATCTCTAAGTTCCACCAATCAGAGCAGACTAGGTCCCCTTTTGAATAAAATACACTTTCTTTGTTTGTTTTCCTCCGATTTTTGATTGGAAATAACTTTAACTGTGTTTAAAAGTTGCTATATAAGAAAAAGTTAATGGTTATTTTTTATTTATTTGGTTTTACAGTAGTGTCTGTCCACACACACATGGTCAGAGAACTTTGTAGGAGTGTCTGTTATTCAAATCTTATCTACATTTTGTGTGTTTTTTTAAGGTGAAACCAAAGCTAGAGTTCCAGACGTTGCTGCAACAAGCTGGAGCCACTAAAGACACTTTCACCATGAAGGAGGTAAACATGGATTTATTTGTATTTATTGGAGGTTTTATGTACATTTTGAATGTTCCCATGCTAAATATGTGATGTATTGGTCCTGCAGGTGATGTTCTACCTGGGTCAGTACATCATCCAGAAGCAGCTGTACGACCAGAAGCAGCAGCACATCGTCCACTGCTCCCAGGATGCACTGGGGCGAGTGCTGGGGGTCGACAGCTTCTCTGTTAAAGAGCCACGGTGAGGAAGAGGAAGAGGAGGATGATTTATTAGTGTTTGTTTTGGTCTGCTCTACAGTAACAACAACAACTTATTGTTTCTCAGTAAAGGGACGTTTATGCCAGTTATGGAAAGCAGTTTATTTTACTATTTTTAAAACTATTACCATAGATTATCAAATGAAAACCTTATAGCAGGTGTTGAACTTCATACACGTTGAATTTAGTAAGAATAAATACAACTTAAACCGCTCTGGAAGGAATTCTCAAGCTAGATTTTGCTCAAAAATTATAAAAACTAGGGATGCTCCGATCGATCGGCCGATATTCACTCTCGGCCGATCGATTGGTGCTCTCTGTAAATGCCGATCAGGAGAGCCGATCGCATGACGTGAAATACATGACACTTTTCTCTGTGCGCGGCAAAACAAGCTCGCCAGCATGGCTTCACCGGTCTGGCAGTATTTCAAGGTGTCCAAAAAAGACAGTCAAATAGCGGTAAGCAACGTGTGTGAAGCAGAAACCCTGCAGCTCCGCCCGCTGTGACGGACCGGTGAGCGAAACACACACTAAGAGTTAGACCTAACACACTGTGCTATCTGATCTACCTCTGGAACAACATAAACTAGTTATACATATATTTATTCTTCACTGTCGGGTCAGTGAGACAGACAGACAGACAGACAGACAGACAGACAGACAGACAGACAGTTATGTTGTTTGTGGAGTAATTATACAGTTTTTGAAGAACAGAAATATAGTTTTCTGGCATCACTTTACGGGGAAAACTGCATTTAAAATCCTGATATAGGGTGCAGAAAGTAATGCATCTCATTTAATATAATATGGCATAGTGCAACAACACAGTAAGTATTTATATAATATATTAACACATAGGGCTGCTCGATTATGGCAAAAATCATAATCTCAATTATTTGGGTCAATAATTGTAATTGCGATTATTCATTGACTTTGAAAACATCCATTTATTGGAGAAAAAATGTGAACAGTATGTTTTTAACAGTTGAGTACCCTGAACTTTAAGTATAACTCAACTGAAAAAGAAAAAATATTTATTTAAAAAAATAATAATAATAAAAAAATATCGTTTTATTCAGATTACGTTGTTTTCGTAATCGTTGCAAGCCATAATCGCGATTTAAAATACGATTTAATTGAGCAACCCTAGTAACACACATCAAAACATGATAAATAATAATATACAATTGTATGTTTGTTTCAGAGTTCTCTTCGCTATGATCACCAAGAACCTCGTGGCGATAAAAAGCCAAGGTAAGACCGCTCCACTTTTCATTTTAGTGTTATTTAAATGTCAAGATTGAACACAGTTCTTTATTTATTGCCAAAGGGGGGGGGGATCTCACTTTCACAATTGCTTTGAAAAACACATGTTATAGACTCATAGCCTTTGGAAACACCGTGCCGTCAGACGGGAAATGTACTTTTTGATGTAAAGGGGAACTACTGGGCTCTTGGAAACGATTACATAATAAAGACATGAGAGGGGATGACATGGTTAAAATAAAAGCATTGTTTAGGAGACGGAGCTGTGTTTGAAGTCTAAAATAACTTCCTCATTTCCATGATGCAACTGTTCCTCTTCTCCGCTTCCTCTTTCTCCTGATTCAGAACACATTCATAAAAAACGTGTCTTTCTGTTTCCTCCTCAGATTCACCACCGAGCCCCGTTGAACCCCAAAGTGAGACTCAGACGGACAAAGGGGCCGAGGTGAGACTCAGATCAAATATAACTGTTGTGTTTGAGTCCGTTTTGAACAAATCTTACCTCAAAAATCTGAAGTAGAAGCGGGTTAACACTTACTGGGAATTGGCTTTCGTGCGCACAGACACATTAAGAGATATTCAATTGTAAGAAAAGGACGAAAAGTAGGACAAGATATTTATAAGTACCGTAATTTTGGGACTATAAGGCGCACCTGAATATAAGCTGCAGGTGTTTTAATGTTTAATTACCATATGTAAGGGTTCGTGCACAGAGGGGATTGTCGGGAAAGAGATGGCTGTTTGAGGAAGCTCCCATTTATTAACATTTCAACAAACAAGTTGCATATTTGCATAACGTATTCAAGTGTTAGCATTTAGTGCAATAGTAGCTACAGAACATGTGCTGTGTAAACTGTACTGTATCACATAGCGTTTCAGACATACAAACTTTTCAACTTTCAAACTTAAACGGTGCGCTCCCAGCGCACGTACCGGCAGTGATCTACAGCAGTGGTTTTCAACCAGTGGTACGGGGACAAACTGTCTCGCTCTCGTAATGTCTGTCTTGCTCTCGTTCTGTCTCTCGTACCACTCTCGGTTCCACTTTTACTTTTGCGCGCTACCTGTCTCACTCTTTTCCGGCCTCCAGCTTTTCCTGCTGGAGCCCGCCGCTTAAAGGCGGGGGGACCGGACCGGCCATAGCGCCCATAGAGTTAAAGGTGGTGGACTGTAACCTGTAAAATCCATAGATTTAGGCGGTCCCCTAGTGGCCTTTAGCTGTAAAAATCCATAGATTAGCCGCACCGTTATATAAGCCGCAGCGTCGAAAAATGGGAAAAAAGGCGCGGCTTATAGTCTGAAAATTACGGTACCAGTTCTAGATCCTTGACTTTTGTCAAACAATTCAAAAGACAACATGTATTTAAAGACCAATCTTTATTTGAATGTGCCTCTTATCCTGATATATTAGTTATACAGTAATAGTATT